AGCCTTTAAAATTAGAATTAGTAGAGCTAGAGAAAAAGAAAATTTTAGTTCAAAATTACAAATTGTTGTTCAAAACTCAACTCAATTCATAAACATAAGCTTGAAATTGACTTACACTAGCCAAGTTTTCTAAAGAGTTGGATTGATTCTATATCATTCACTTGCTACAACCCCAATTGTTCTACAAATGATGAACTATACCTGTAAAATAACTGTAGATGTGAAAGAATGAAGATTGTCTTGATCTAACTTTTCACACGATTCATTTATCCAATTTAGAAGAAAAAACTCTAATAATTACAAAACTCGTCCATTTAAGTTCGTAATTGAGTGTTGTCAAGTCTAGCACAGTTTAATTTAATTAAAATAATTAGTAACTAACTTTCAACGAGCTAAAACAATTCATTTTTGGCGGGTGACTTATAGTTGATTGTGTTGGCTATGCATATAAGTGTGACAACATTGATGATCTCATGTAAAGATTTGACATTGATTTGCTTTAATTATCATGAGTAAATTTTTTTACTAGATTCCACCGTATCATATGCGGTAAATAAATGTTCTTTCTTTCTTTGTAATGTCTTCTTAAATTGTGATAGGTTCACATTTTTTTACTTGAAGAGTTTTGATTGGACTATACCACATGATTCAAAATCATCTAATAATTTTTTAATTATTATTTATTTTCTTTTTAAGTTTCTATATATTATAACACTATCAAAACTCAGTGATACTCTTCCAAAATTGAAGGTAGAGGATTCCATGTTCCGCAAAATGTGAATGTAAACATGTATGCTAAGTTGGTTGAAAAGATACCAAAAAGTTTTAGGGTAAATGACACTTTCTTCCCCTCTAGTTTGTGTTTTTTACACTTGCTTGCCATATGTTTTGGCATATTACAGTTACCCCTTTAAGGTAGTGTTTGATAATTCAATTTAGTCCATATTTAATTAAGCGTATTTGATAACACAATTTGAATACAACTAAAAAAGGTAAACGTCACTAAAAATGAAATAAAATTTTAAGTGATAGAGACATCACTTAACACTGAATGCTGAACGCTGAAAAATTCAAAAAGATATAAAAAAATATTTGTTTTTCATTAGCACTTAAAATTCAGCTTTTAAAATTTTCAGTACTTAATTTTCAATTTTATCAAGCAGTTGAAAGGCATTAGAGTTAGTTAACGGATCATGTGAAATTTCCCTTATGTCTTTATTATTATATAAACATAACAAAATTGTCTTTACAAACATTTGAAGGGTATCTTCGTCATATAAATCTTTTAAATTTTCCATTTCGGCATTGATTATTGCAAATCATTAATGTCACGTGTAGGAGTTATAATAAAGGGATACGAGAGTAACAAACCCAAACTAGAGGGGGAGGCAAATATAATTTAACCAACTTTTTATACATGCCAATTATTTGACATGAACAAACCCTCCTTATTGAGTAAACCGAGTAAACCAAATATAACAAGGTAAGAAGTTGACATGAACGAACCTTCCTTATTGAGTAAACCAAAAGACACCAAGTACATCGCAAAAAGTGCCAATTATTTTTGTAAAATGTTAGTTTAATAGTCTTCTGACTCTTCTCAACATTATTCCATTAATAGAGACCCAAATGGTTCATATAAATATATTCAATGGTGTCGCTAAACAATGGAAATGTTCTCCTTCTCTCCACAAAATCTCCTCATGTGTCTTTTTGGTTCAAGGTGGATTCAGAAATTATCAATGAGGTGGACTAATGATTTTTCTTTGAGTGAGCTAATATTAGTAATATATACATATATATATATATATTTGGACTGTGCTTAAATTAGGTATAGTAAATTTTTTTTTTGGTGAGCTTGAGCACACTCAAGCCCCCCTTGCTCTGGCAGTGCTTTTGATTTGATTTTTATCCCATAATAAATAATTATTGTGCTCTTTAACCTTTTGGAGCAAGAAAGCTTTTTTTTTATTTTTTATTTTTATTTTTATTAACCCGGGGTGTCCGGGATGGCACAAACCCTTAGGGTACTTCAACAATCCGACTAATTTTCGAAGATTCGGAAGGATGCCTCCCCCACCCGGGCAGGGTAAGTCACTGCAGGGGCAGCGGAGGTTAGTCACAAAGAACATCCAGCGGGATTCGAACCCTATACCTTGAGCTTGCTAAATTCCAAAGTTCAGCGAGCGAGTAAACCGCTGGGTTATATTCGAAGTGGATTGGAGCAAAAATATTGTTAAAAGGTTTAAAATGTTTATTGACTTTTAATATTAACTTTTTAAAAAATAAAAAATATATATATTATATCGATCTTATAACACACACACTATTTAAGTGATGCGCTTGATTTGAAAGCGAGATTTTGAAAAATTACCTCTCTAATTTTTGCTATAGCGACTATGCCCTGAAACAAGTTAAAAAAAATATATTGACGGAGTAATTTACAATTGAGAAATCAAAATGTGTCATTATGTTGCCATTCCACAAAGGACCCACCTTGTTGGAATTTTCTCACGTGGTCCACGTTGTTATCATTAGTTTTCAACCGGCTCAAAAATCACAAATTGGCCATTGCCTTGTTTGATATATATGGTATTATATTATGTTGGTGATATATAGACACACACATGATATATGTCTATCACTCACTAATGTCCTCTGAAAGAGAGTTAAAACATTGATTTGATTGAATCCATAATATTCATGTTTTTAGGCCAGCTGTAGCCCATTACAAATTGAAAATTTGATCACACGGGAGATGCTTTATTTCAAGTCATTTAATTGTGTCACTTTATTTTATTTTATTTTATTTTATTATTATTATTATTTTTTTGAGTGATAAAGCAAACACACTCTTTTGTTAATGTCAAAGTTCGTACTCTCCCCTACTCTTTGAGGATGGTGACACTATACCGCTAGCTCTAAGGTCATTTGGTCCACACTTACTTTAATTTTTAAATGAAATGAAATTATTTGATCTTTAATCTATAAGTTACAGAAATACCATTAAATTACAACTATGATATCTTTTTAATTTCTAATATCAAAAGATTTAACATGAACTTATTGAAATTCATGGGATATTTGAAACTAATTATATATAGGTTGAGGTATAGTTACGAAAGTCACAATAACACGTGATTTGACTAAAATTGTTAAATTGAATGCCGAAAAAGATTGGTACAATTCACTCAAATAATTGAAAAAATACTTTATTAAATTGAGTTGGGTGTCAATTATTTGTCTTTAATCACCATCCCATGAATCAAGCTTGAAAAAAAAACGTTCTATTTGCTATACAAAAAAGTAAAAATCATCACCACCACAAAGCTTTTTTGGAATAGCAAGACTAATCATCTCTATCGTTGCTTATCAAGAAATAATGTATATGAAAAAAATGACAGAAGGCCAACAAATTTTTGCTTCAAATAAGGAATATGGTGTTGTAGAATAAAATTAAGGGTCAGTTTGTTTGGATGTAAAATATTTTTCAAAGATATTTTTTTATTTTTTGGTTTTGGTTGTCATAAAATATTTACGAAGAAAAAAAATATTGAAACTTAACAAAAATAACTTACTCATTAAATTTCAAGAAATTATTTTATACGTTTCGCGTCCATCAACCCCACTCTCAACCTACACCTTTGTCCAACACTGTAAAAGCAATATATATATATATATATAGTAGGTTCTATATATATATATATATATATATATATATAATCTGAAAAAGGAAAATCATTTTCCAAAAAAATATTTTAGCCAAAATGTGCAACAGACATTCCTTTTCATGAGTTAAGAAATGAGTACTATTAGTATTAGATATTTTCCGAAAAAAATATATATATATTAGATATTGTCTATTATATAGCATATATTAATCGAGCTGTCTCACGAGCTCACACTCCCTTGGGGGAGGGAGCAAAATTGTCAGAATATTCGTCCTTGTTATTTTAATTAAATTTAAATCTAATGGGAATGTTATATACATCCTATTTACTAATAGAAAGACAAATATTCTCCCACATGATCAAACCACTTACTCACAAACACATCATGAGAGACTAATAAATTTATGCTGTGTTTGCTTAGAAGGAAGCATTCAGAAAGAAGGAAGAAGCTTTCTTTGTGTTTGGCGGGAAAGAAGGATTCAGGAAAGAAGTAAGAAGCTTTCTTTGTGTTTGGCTGGAAGGATGGAAAAGGCTCTGGTAACCCATGTTTTTTCTTATGTCCAAAAATAGGACAGGATAGAAAAAATAATTACCTTATAAATATAATTTTAACTTTCAATTTATTTTCAAATCAATTAGTTAAATCTTACTATTTTTTTTTTCCACACTATGAGAAGTAAGAGTTTAATATCTATGAAAAATAAAAATTTAGTACCGCTGAACCACTGAGCTGTTGGTTAAACCTTAATAAAATTCTTCACACATAAACAACAAAGCAATATGTAATTAGGGTATATTGGTAAGAAGATATATATAAAATAAATGCGTCACCCATTCATCCTTTTTCTATTATTTATTCCATTCAACTTAACCACCAAACAAGGAGATAAATTCAATGGAAGAAAAAAATTAGCCTGTCATGTCATACTTGCATCGTGTCAAAATAAAGGTATTTTCTTACATAAAGCTAAGACAAATACAATAAAGGTATTTTCTTACATAAAGCTAAGACAAATACAACGCGTTTATTAAACAGAGCAGACAACTTTCACTGATTCCCATGAATACTTACTCTGCATTCTTGGGCAAAATAATTTTAGCTTACCTCACAATATCGGGTTACTTCTTGAGATATTTTTTCAAAATACGCTCAGGGTTGCATTGAATTGAAATTTTGAAATTGAAATTTGTGAAATTTGAAAAAAACAACTAAAAAAAATTAAACCAAAATTCTAATTCCAAGACTCCAATTCCATGCAGCCAAACACACCTAATCAGATCCAAACTGCATGGGCGTGTGCGAGAGAGAGAGAGAGAGAGAGAGAGAGAGAGTAGAAAGTGGCTACATTATTGAAAGTAATAAACCATTAAACATTCGCCATAAGCACACGAAAAAATAGAACACGGTCGTTTAAAAATTTTGAAAATGGTCCATTACAGTATCACCACCCACACACTTATTCCTCTTCCTCTGCCTCCTCCAGCCATTTTACAAAGGGCTCCAAAGCCTTCACAAAGGTTTGCCTGCACCATTTCAAAACAGTAAATTAGAAATTAAGTTTCAACGGAAATCACGAAAGTTAAAACAGAGCAGAAAATTCAGTTCAAGCACACAAAAAACCGGGAAATAATTTTGGTGGCTAGACATACAATGGGCGTTTCAAATGGCATGTGCAAAGGACATTCTAATTTTCATATCCTCCAACCACAAATGTTACAACTAGTTGTATCGAGACTCCCACAAGGTACGCGTCATTAAATCTTAAAGATAGATAAACACGTTATAAAAAATATATATTATCTAAAACTGACAGTCACCTACCTGCCCTTTGTATTAGTTCCTTTACGGAACCAGTGAAGAATGGTATCTTCCGCAAGCACATCCTGGTCATAGAGCGATCTCACAACTTCAGGGAACAACTTCATTAGCTTAGCATCCTCGTAGAATTGGACCTGAATTTTGTACATGAGTTCCAGCTCGAGCTTCCCACTGGTACAGAAGGAATTTAATAATTCCGACCATGTTTTTACCTGAATTTTAATGACATTTCCATTTCAAGTCAGCAGTTCCAAAAAATATGATGAGCAGGCATATGCAGTATGTAACCATTGATGTGTTACTCCTATGCTGGAACAAGAAACAGATTCAAAGGCATTTTATTCTAGGATGAATTAGGCAACATTGTCTAAGCATGGTCTGCATTTGGTGTTTGCTCTTGGAATTTTTGTACAAGAAGCAACCTTCCCCAAAACTGGTCCTCAATCATAAAATCAGCACAATGGCCAACAATGTTTCGACATATATTGCGAATCAATAACATAATCAAGAAAAACGACAGAAAAGCAAAAAAACATGCCACACACCAAGAGCACTAAGATTTAGGTGGTTCGGCATAAGTCTATGTCCACGGTGAAAATCCGGCCAAAGATCGCAATATGTGAAAAACAGGAGATTAGAAGTTTCAACCCTGAAACCCTACCATATGTCCCCCAATGGCAAAAAAGTAAGAAAAAATCCAAACATGTTCTGTTAGTACTATTGTACCTTTAAAACAAGGAGCAAAACTTCCTTTTATTGGAGAAGAAAGTTAAAGTAAATTAAAACCTTGAATCAGAGTTATTGTATGTATTGTGCAAACATTATCAGATAAAGTAAAGAAGTGATGTATATTAGAGTTACATACTGTTTTACCTACAAATTGTGTCCTATGATATATCTTAAGCTTCAAAAGCCATGGATGTAGATAGAGAGAAGTGGCAACAACTCTTTATGATAATATACAAGACTATGGCCTTAAATAGAGCTGAATGGAAACATGTGATTGATGTAGCTAACCCCAAGTAATTGGGAAAAGGCTTGGTGGTAGTGGTTGTACAAAAGGATACTTCAGATGCTCAAACTCTGATTTGTCCCGTAAAGTAGAGGGTCCCGTAAAATAGAGGGCCCACTTAGCAGCTTCGTTGATTAAATTTGAGTATAGTTAAACCATTATTTTAAAGTTTCTCAAGTTAGTTTTCTCCTAGTTGAATTTTCTACATGTTATATTACGTTTTAGTAGTCAGGTATTTTTGTAATTCCAACACTAGTTGTAGTCCGTAGGTTGTATTTTGGATCACGATGTGCGGGATCTTGTCTTTAAATGCATGACATAGTGGTTGCAGAATCTTTAGCCGAAAGAATGAGCACTTTCAAAACAATTAAATTGTGGTTTGGGACATTTCATTTACAAACTGGTTAAATCCAATGGCACAGGCATAAAATACATGATATTATAAATGGATAACATTGCAGTGTCAACTAAAACTCACCGAAACAAAGTTTTTTTCCCAACTATTAGAGAGTTTTTTTTTCCAACTATTTAAGATAAGCTAATGAATCACTTGTCATCATTCCACTCTGTTGAAGGCCATAACATCAGTCAAACCACATGTTATCATATATCTTCCTTTTATCAACCCATGCTAGTTTTGATCCTTTCTTCCTCTTAACACTACCCTCAGTATGCATGCCACTCAAGAAGATGTTTTAGAGAATTTATGTTCTTCAAATCTTCCTTGTTGGGAGTTACCAAAAAATATTAATTCCTGTTTTATGCTAGTTCTTGAGCAGGCTTGTCCATGGAGACCAGAATGAACCAAGCCCATCATACTTGCCCAAAAAGTTTCTAGCGTCTATTAACGAGGTTTTTTGTACCAGATCAAGATTAGAACGAAACATAATTACTTGTTAGACTATCTTCTGCTCTGCAATCTTATTCTCCTAATTCTCCCTTTCTAGTCTCCTTACTAATCTAGAATCCAGCAGCTAATTTCAAATAAACCAGCAATTATACCCCTTTATCTTCAGAACCTCTGCAACCACTAGAAAATCAAAGCCTCATCCCAACAAATAAGTCACTGCAGGCAGAATTCTTCCAGTTATCTGAGGATGTTGGAAGGAGAATACAAGAAAGGAGGGGGGAAAGCTTAACATGTGCTTGTTTGTTGAAAATGAGGGGGGAAAGGAGAGGATTAAGAGGGAGAACGAAAGAGGGCCCCTAACCCTTTCAATAGTGTTTTGGATATCCACCTCAAAGAAGAAAGATTTAAAGGAAAGGAGAGGACAATTAGTGGTTACTTGTTTTGCCCTTATTTTTTAAAAAAACAAGTGAATTATTATCAAAATAAAACAATTCTTCATTTCTTCTCTCAAGTCTCTCTTCCAAAATGATGAAGGGTTTTACCACTTTCCTTTCCTTTCTTTCCCCTCCTAAGCTATCTAAAAACGAGGAGAGGTTAATACAATCCTATAATTTCCTTTCTCTCATAACTAATACATACTCTCCAATTTTGTCCCTCCTATTTATCCAAAGGCATTGTTATGCTACAAGTTACAAAAATAAAAATCCATAAGTTCTGAGATAGACGCTCCAAAGAAGGTGACACAATAAGTAACTTTGTCCATGCCAGACCTATGTCGCATAGCGTTCCCAGTGTCATATCGTATCATAGCCATGTCTTACATCAAGAAATCACATATTTTAAACTGTCCAAAGAGTTACTAATTCCCTACAACTTTTCCAATATCATGCCGTATTATGCTCCATTATTACATGAAAATCCTAAAATTAGTAAACTCCTTATGTCAGAGACGACGTCATATACAGTAACTACCCAAGAGTCTAGATAAAGAAAAAGAAATGAAGAACTTCAATAACTAAGCCTATGTCAAGTCCCTTTGTTCATGTCAAAGGCCAAAATCAAAGAACTAGATAAATCTAATACTTCAACATACACCCTCATCTGGAAGCATACTCGATTCTGGCTAACATTGTCCAGAGTTCAGTATACGAAATTTAGATAATAAGAAACGCAGCTCTCTCCTGAATAAGATGAATAAAACATTCCCTTTTCTTCCTAAGCAGATAACAAGACAACACATCAAGAATAAAGGCACCATATAAAATATTAACCAAGAACCTGTAACGTTTGTTTTGCTCAACACGTTTAAATCAAGAAAGTGGTGACGATTTAAAAATGTTAATATACCTGGCGCAGGGCTGCATTAGCATTCTGCTGTTGGTTCTTCCCAGACCATTGAACAGCATCCATTATAACATCCCACAGAATCCGAACAACCTCAATGTCTGGTAATTTGGCATCTTTAACATGCTGCTTCACAGTTTCTATGACTTCAGTTATATCAGTTTCCTCAGCTATCTGGGATGTCAATGCAGATTTCATTTCTTTCAGCTTCACCTCAAAAATTTTCTTCTCATTGTATTCCACCAAAGGTAAAAGACCTGCCTTACTGAAAAATAGTAACATTCACACTGATAAGTTATTCCACGAATAAAGAAGATACCATACTACTACTATAAATAAAAGAATTTCAAACGCCACTCAAAGTCTTGTTAAAATAAAAAACATTAATGCAGAACTTTGTACTTGGAGGTTGCAATGTCAACATCATTATAGTGTTTGACGGGAGGCTTGGCTTGCATTTAGGCAAGGTCTACATTAGGATATCCTCACATCCCAAATAGATATCAGATGAAGTTACAACACTAATAACCTAGCATATAAGAGATTGATGTAGGATGTTTAATCTCAGCACCAAACAGTGAATATCTCAAGGTTAAAGAAGAAGTAAACTCATCGAAAAATAGAGCTTGAAGGGGCAGGGAATAGACAAACGGATGTGAATTCTAGGCAAATACGCAACTATTTTCTCAGGCAATCACTCATAAGAGCAGATATATCACACATCACAAGTACGGCTGTAGAAAATTTCTTCATTCAGTGTTCCAAAATATGGCTAATAAATCCTTTACATAGACAATTAGAGCATGGAAACCAAGGTAATTGGTGGCCTAGTAGTCTTGGTGCCATGTTTGACTAAAAGATAATACCTTCTTAAACCAACTAGATCCACTAGATTTTACCAAAATACATAAGCAAGTAACTAATCAAAAGCCCAACAAGGCAGCCATTAAGGTCATATCTGAGGTTATCAAAGTACCCTCGAAAAAACAATGATAGAACTTAAAATTTAATTAAACTCCTAAGAAAGTACTAGATTAGAATATTGCCAAATGACAACGTTGGCCCTCGAATTAGGAATTCTCCTCCTCTTCCAAACCTTGACAATATTATTTAACTTGCTAGGTTTTTAGAGTCTCAAGACCCAAGAGAGCTGCCTCAACCTGAACCAAGACATGCACAGCTAGTTTAATGAAATATAACCACATAGTGGCATTGCAGCAAGTTGTGAGCTTCGATCTCTAACTGACAACTGTTTCTAGTACTAGGGAAATACACCATTAAGAATTTTGAGAAACATTATCTCACTTTTCTAAAATGCTTACAACTTTACCCATTTCATTAGTTCATCAGAAAAAGTCAACCTACAAGCACGTGACTCCATGAATTACCCTGACCAAAGTCATTCTCTAAAATAATTAATGACAAAAAAAGACCCATGAGCATCCAAAAAAATTTGCATCTCATAATAACTCCTTAAACAACCAACATCTATGAGGTTCAAAAGTACACAAATGATTGTTAGATTGATTTAACAAACAGAAGTGAGAACAGTTTCTGACACCATTTAATATCAGACAACCCAATAGAGTCCTCGCATCAGTTGCTAGAAAGGAGATATATGATCGATCACCATACATTATTTAAAGAAGGAAACCCCATTGAACATGAGATGTGCTTAGTGCAGAAGGAAGCTTTCCTATGCAGGGGCGGAGCCAGGAATTTGTTTCAGGGGGGGGCGCCTTATTAAAAATGATAAATTATATTTTTTTCAAGCGATAGTGATGAAAGAAAATAAGTCAAAAAATAGAACTATAATAATGGTAGAATAATAGCATTTAATACTTTAAAAAATAATTGTTTTAAAAAAATAAAAACATAAAATACACCTTAAGAGTCCTATTAGCAACAAATTTAATTACCAAACTTTGAAGAGAAAAAAAAAAAAAAAATAGTTTGAATAAAGGAATATAATTTTTTTTTTTGTTTTTAAGAGAAGAAACATAAAATACACCTTAAGAGTCCTATTAGCAACAAATTTAATTACCAAACTTTGAAGAGAAAAAAAAAAAAAAAAAAAATAGTTTGAATAAAGGAATATAATTTTTTTTTTTTTTTTTTAAGAGAAGAAGAAGAAGAAGAAGAAGAAGAAGAAGAAGAGGAGGAGGAGGAGGAGGAGTAAGAATGAAAAGAAAGGATAGATTAAAGATATTTTTAAAAAATAATTATTTTAGTGGGCATTTTTGTAAAATTTTATAAATTATAGGCCTATTTGCAATAAAAATTAATTGGCCCAAGGGTAAATAATTATTTCAGTGGGGCATTTTTCACTTTTTTATAAATTATTAGCCTATGTGTAATAAAAATTAATGGCCACTTTTTAGAAAAAAATTATTTTAAGGGGGGCATTTTGAAAACTTTTATAAATTATAGACCATTTTGTAATTAAAACTAATGGGCCAGCATGGGCCCCCCCTGGGCCTATGCTGGCTCCGCCCTTGTTCCTATGTATGACACGATAGCCAGACATTGACACATACTAATTTGATCCCATTTGACAAACAATTGAAAAGATAGTTTCAGGTTGGCTTATTGGATTCAGGGACGGAGACACCACCACCCCCCCAGGGGGACACATAGTACTTTATAATAAACGTATTGTAATAATACTATTTACTAATAATGTATAAGCATATAAATAAGTGTTTATGATGTATTTATATATAGAGAGAGGTGGATATATAGAGAGATTGATATTTTTGGGATGAGGTAAATTAATAAGTTACATATATAGAATATAATGAGACTAATTATAATATTTCAAATAATAGTCACAGTTCCCCAAACATGACACTCTTTTTGGGACAGAGGGAGTATATATTTACTAATAATGTATAAGCATATAAATAAGTGTTTATGATGTATTTATATAGAGAGAGAGGTGGATGTATAGAGAGATTGATATTTTTGGGATGAGGTAAATTAATAAGTTACATATATAGAATATAATGAAACAATAATTATAATATTTCAAATAATTATACTCTAATAATCTGAAAATCAGATTAAAAGGGTAGAAATAAGTCCTGCTAGTAAACAAAGAATGAGTTTAGCTTTAATACAACAAAACCAGACCCACCAAAAGCTAGGACGTTGCAACCATATACAAGTGCTTAGGGTAAAAGGAAGCTTTCCTATGCACGACACGTTAGCCGGACATTGACCCATTACTAATTTGATCTCATTTTCAACTCCAGATTAATTCAATAATAATCTTTGACAAACAATTGAAAAGATAGTTTCAGGTTGGCTCATTGGAGTAATATGTTAATGTAATAAGTTCTGCCCAAGTTATCCTCTTTAATTTGTTTACCCAAGTACACTTTGCTAAAATATATACATATATATATATTTCAAATAATTATACTTCAATAATCTGAAAATCAGATTAAAGGGTTGAAATAAGTCCTGCTAGTAAACAAAGAACGAGTTTGGCTTAATCACAACAAAACCTGACCCACCAAAAGCTAGCACATTGCAACCATATACGAGTGATATGCAAAACCTCTTCTTTTTTTTCATATGCAAATTTACAGAGAGAGAGAGAGGGGAAGTTAAGGCAACTATTTAAGTTACCGTTTCCAGTCATTACTGCAACCAAAACTATTATCAATATGCCAATGAATTATTTTTCCCTTTTTTTCACTGATAAGAGAATAATAACATGGTGAACCCTATTATTGCATAAAAGTAAAGAAGTTATCTGCTTATTTTCAGCAGCAGTATAGTTTTCCTCATTAAAATAATAGGACTTTCATATTGAAAGAGAAGTGATCTGGATCATATATATGCATGCAACAAAAATAGAGACATAAATAGAAAAAAAAAAAGAAAAAAAAAAAAAGAAAAGAAAGATAGTCTTATTCCAGCCGATACAACATTCCTTGTATATAAGAGGTATCAGAAGCATTCAGTGACCCACCCACTGGCACTGAAAAAAATCCATGGTCGTTCTATGGGCAAGTAAATAACGCATTTATGATTAGGCAACAAAAATATGACCATTTTACCAAAAAAAAAAAAAAAAATATGACCAAAATCCTAAAAAAGGGAACACCAACCTGAAATGCTCTGAGAAAGATTCAGCAGACCGTTTTGCAGATGGGAGGAAATCAAGAAGATTCTCCTCCATTTTACCCCGCTTCAGAATTGAAATCAAATCATCAAGACTGTTACCAATCAGATACTCCCTGAAGAAATCTGTTACAAACGAGAGAACTAGTCCTTTGGCCACAAGGTTATCCTTGAGCAGTGGCTGAAACACAGTCTCTGGTGGGAGACCTGACAGCTTCTGGGAAAAAGCAAGTGCGGTGAAAATTGCCAGCTTCTTACTTTCATTTTCTTCAAAAAGTTCCAATGACTGCAAGAATCTTTGCATAACATTTTCAAGATTCTTTATCAGGAAAGGCCTTCGCCGCAGTATCTTCTGTATGTAAATTACAGATGGCAAAATGGCTTCCCGTGTAGCCTCACAGTCAATTATAGAGAAATGATGGCGCTCCCCCTCATCAGGTTTAGTTGTGCCAGGCTGTGTACGCCCTCCTGTGAAGACAACCTGAAGTCATGAAGTAAATTAAGGTCAGGGAAATATGTCAACCAAAAGTAACTGATGATTGGCAAGTAATCAAATTAAATGATTTCTTATCCCCCCAATTGATCTTATCACTACTTCCCTCTACTCTAGGATGTCAATGAGAAGAGTCAGAAAATACGGATATGTCATTCTTGAAATCCTCTTCCAGCTTGAGTTCAACCCCCATCCACTATCACCTTGCCTAACTCCCCTATTTTGAGTTTGCCAACTGATCCGAAAACAATGCACTCCCATCTCCTTCCTTCAAACATAAAGCCTTGATTTTTGCCAACTGATCTTTTCCCGTCAAACCATTTCCTTCACTCAGTGCAAGTTTCTTCCTCCTTCGTATCTAGAACTTAAATCTCATCCATGCCTTACCCTTCTTCAATTGCAAGTTGTCAAAAACTTCCTTACGATTCTTATGTCTTTCTAAAATATTCGATCTCTGAAGCAACACAAATCTAGGAGATCCTAGGACTCTGTATGCCTCCAACCACCCTCTGTCATCCCATACCCATCCTCCTTGAGCCACACATTCTCAGACCAAAACAGCTCCTTTCCACTTCAAATGCTACCATAGTCCACTATCGCCTATATATCCCTATAATTTAGCCATGTGCACTTGGCCCCTAGGGGTGGTAATACTTGACACAGCATACTAATACGACTCGAACACGACAAGGAATAAGTGGATTTGGATTTGGCTTAATCGTGTTCAGATCATAATCATGTCGACCCAAATTGACACATTAATTAAATGTGCCATGTTCGTGTTTGACCCGCCAACCCGATTAGACCCGTTTAATTAAATGTGTTGTGTTAGTGTTAGAATGACCTGTTTAACTTAATATGTCACATAAACATGTCGTGTTCATGTTACAAATGTCCCGTTTAACTACACGTGTTGTCGTATTCATGTTCATTTGACCCTAATAGTATAGAATTTTAAATAAACGTGTCTTGTCGTGTTGTGTCAAGTCGATCCATTCATTAAACAGGTTAGGCATGGTGTGTCGTGTTACCCGTTTAATAATCGTGCCATGTTCGTGTCAGGGTATCTTTCCATGGTTGATAATCGCATCATGTTCGTGTTGACCAATATAACAAGATATCCATGTCCTGACATGACATGAACACAACATACCAACACGAATTGACACCCCTATTGGCCCCTATCAAAAGAAAGGTCCATCATTCATATTGTAGTCAAACAACTACCATAGATTTGCAATTGCAGCAGTGCACTGCCCCGACAAACCAAGGGATCCCTCCTCATCTTCACCCCACAAATTCTTTCTAATGTTTCATTCCCATTCCAAATCCTCCACTGGCCCATATACTTCAGAAGCACCCATTTAATTATATCTTCTAGAGAAGGAAAAAGACAATATAATGAGAACTCCCCCACTATAATCTCCTTATTCAGACTGAGAACTCCCCCACTATTGCCTACTTATTCATCACCATATCATATCACGAAGACACCGTCTCTCATCCCAAATGCAACCAAGAAGGCATATTTAACAAATTTAACACCCCCACACCCCCCAAAAAATGCTGTTCACAGCACCAGAAAAGAAATTCTCCATTTTTGGGTCTCTCAAATGCCCTATGCTCACCTTCCATACCCCAAAGGAGGGCTTTACAACATCCTTTCATCCAGGTATTTCGAACTACAGGCATTTTATAATTTGGATCCAGATATTTATTGATAAATAACCTACTTACCCCTTCTCCTTGCCACCGCTTCTACCCCGTTCCACTCCTTCTCATTATGTCTCAATTTCCTATCCCTTTTTAATCTAATCCCTTCCTCCTCTTCCTTTAATTGCTACCTCTTCATCACCCAATCGTTCCATATTGCAAAGACTCCCAGGCTATCCCGATTTCTTCCAAGAAGGTCTATTCCAAAATCTGCCTCTCCAAAATGCTCCTCATAATACTAGTACAATATTCCATTTTTGTTTCTCACAAAAACACCACTCACCTTCCATTTCAAAGACTCCGTAACATCCTTTCATCCAGGTAATTCAAGTTTGAACTATAGACATTCCACTATAGGGATGCGGATCTTCATTCATAATCAACAACATCACCTCGCCCTTGTTCTAGCAACCAATACTAACCCCTCTGTCAACTTTTCTTTCATTTTTTTTTTCTTCCACGGAAAGTACCCACTCCCTCGTCTTCCTTCATAGTTTATTATAATATTAGATTCTTTAAATTCCTTTTTCCCTTTTCCAATGCATAAACTATATCCTCTTCATTAATTTGCTACAGCTCTTAGTCTTCCAACTTGTGTCAATAGTCACAAGCAGCAAAATTGTTTATTTTTCCCCCGAAGGGATATCCTCAAGAATTCACTTACCTCTGCAATATAAGCCATCACCCACTCTGATACCTCCCAAGCAATGACCCCTCCTCCCTTTCAGCAGTACTGCCCAAAAGCCTCATGAAGTTATTATCTTTTGTAATGCAGCATTGACCAAGAGATATTATTACCCGACATAAATAAACAGTAAGACTTTAAGGGATTGTTGGGGTGTCCTACATACCGGGAGCCGAAAGTAACTTGCTTTCCTTGCTTTAGCCTATGTTGCTCCTAGCCTTGCTAGCCTACCTCTAACCAGATAGATGACAACATCGGGAAACAAGTAGACTCGCAATAACAACTTAAGGCACAGTTGTCATCTCAGAAAAGGGGACATACTTGCATTTTACAACAGTAGACGCCTCAAGGGAAGTATGAAACAAACCTGAAGGCTTCCTTTGAAGGATATTAGGACTTAAATTACTTGTCAAAACTATATGAAGCAAGCTTTGAAGTTTTCTTTTAGGGTAGAGAGGGAGCAACAGAGAGATCATAAAGCTAATAGACAGGTGATAATGACGATTGAGTTGTCTCTCTTGGAGATTGTTTTGCACCATACATACAAGAGGGACATAATATTGTTATATATCGCCATAGTTGTGCCTATGTTGACACCATTTAGCCTATGAGAAATGGATAATTGATCTATCATTTCCTTTGTTGTGTTGTTCTTATTGAATTCATATTTTGTTATTTTTTATAGTTTTTAATCCTAGTTGTAGCTTGTTGCAGCATATTGTTTAGACAACGATGACACTGACACCATCAAATTCAAATGCAGGTATCAATAAAGATGGATTCTTGGGAAAAGATTATCTCTGAAATTTCCTAAGAAGAACGTAAATGAATTGAAGGAGAGTAAGCATAAGTAATAAGGAACTTAAACCCAAAAAAGTTTGTGTTTTTCATAATTAAAATTGAAATTTATCGCAATATGAAAAATATGGAGATTTGCACTTCGAGAATGGTAAAAAAATACCAAAGAAACAGTCTTCTTGAACTAACTCCACTACAAAAATTTAATATACATGGTTATTGATGATTGATGGTGGTCGTATGCAAATGTAGGAGGCATACATATCAAACACTTGAATTTGTTTGGCCATCACATCGTATGGCAAGGGAAAATACTAAGAAATGTCCCATCTACTGAGAAATCGTTAACCAATGAGATGTATAATTTTCATGCAATATAAAATCTGGTGTTGCTGGCTAGTACCACAAAGATAACGATACAAACCTGTGAAGTATTAAACCATTGTTAAAAAAATTTAAAAATAAAAAAAAACCAGAATGTACATAATAGTTATTTGTACAATGTAAGATTTTGATTATCACTTCTATAACAAATCAAATCATGGTTCAAATAAGCTTCCTGTGGAATACATCAAATCATATTAAGAAAAACTCAAACAAATATGAAGATGCTTGCCTCAAAAAAGGTGTCGCCGTATCTTGAGAAGTTAAGGTCTGCAGATTCAATGCTCTTCGCAATAAGTTCCTGCATGTGGCAAAACACTCACATGGTCCATCATGAAGACTAATGCACATGGGCAACAACACACGCATGCATAATTATATAAGTGTGCACACAAAGTCAACTGGAGATTCTAGATAAATAGATAAAATTACCAAATCACCAGCATTATCCAGATAAATCTGGACCACTGCATCCGCAAATGCTGCAGGGTCCAGAGGCGCTGCAATATTCCGTTTGCGGGTCTTAATCCGCGTACCACTATAATTCCAAATATTCATAAACAGAAAAGTAGTTCAGTATAATAAATGTCATAGCAAAAATAGAATTCAAGAATTTCCAACTATACAGAACAGCAGAACTCTAGCACATATACCATGCGTTTATTCCAGACAAAACAGAATAACGACTACATATAATGTGAAGTATCCTCAAACTATAATATGCTTATTATTTGAAAAAATTGGACATTACATTAGGTTCCACTTAAATAAGCTTAAGGGTTGAGGTGGGGTAGGATAGGTCTTAGGTTTGAATTTTGCCTGGGGGTAAAAAAGAAAAAGATTACAATTCAATAAATCTCTTTTAATAGGGAAACTATGTTTGCATGGACCTGGGTACTTGTATCAAGTGCAATTTTGTGTCCAAGTTTCAACCCTACAAAAGACCAAGTGCAATTAAGTGGCACTTCGAGTATTGAATTAGCAATATATTATACATATCAGAAGCAAATGTCATTTGCCACAGATAATTCATAACTCTAAATTCTTTTCATGTGATTTTCTATATTATAAACTATAAATATAGAATTTCCAATAGTCATAAAAATACTTGTATTAAAATTTATTTAGAAGAAAAATCTGACATAATATATGGACATATGATGAAAACCCAATTATTATTTTAAATTTACACACACACACAAACACACACACACACACACATATATATCTTCTAGTCTTTATACATGTACATAAAAATTTATGAAGATATTGCCATATCCTTTTGAATTCATATCTTGGTCTATAAAAATATGCAGTTTTCAGTTTTTCATCCCTAATGCATACCTAATCCATGCTTAATAGGGCACAACAAAGGAGGGTCAATGTCTCCATAAAGAATGGCACTCCTCAAACATGCCTGGACGCATAAGACATGTCCTAATTAATTCAGGCAAACTCTAAGCATGTCAAAGGTTTTAAATTAAAATTATTTATTTTATTTAGTACTCTGTCATACACCATGGACATGATAAGACATAGCTACTCTAATCCAATATGACAAAAAGAAATGGTTCCATGGTGGACACATTCAGCATGTGTACAATGATGTGTCACATACTACTATTATTACATTTTCCTTTCTTTCCAAATGTTCCTTGCCAAGTCTATCCAAGTATTCCTATCATATTGAATTGCAACCATATCTGTGTTTTGTGTTTTGTGTGTGTCCTGCATTTTGTGTTTATGCATACATGCAACATCGCAACCTAGTCGCAAACTCTAATTTAAACCTGTTTGCCTCTCCAGACAACTTGATGACGTAAGGAGAAATAACAATGTGTGAAATCAAAATAACTTTGATAATTCAACTAAAGAAATTGTGAAAGAAATTAAATGCAGATGCCTAAAAATTCTCAAAGAGGGGGCTATTTAGTTCTGCACCTTAAGGAGCGTCGAGAAAGAACGGAAGAGTAAAAGATATTGGAGGTTTTTAAAACTTACTTGACCTAATTTAATTGTATAAAGATTTTTGAAAGACGGTTACAAGGCTTTATGGGGCTTTAAAGGCCCAAACTTTATTTTCAGATTTGTTGTGTTTTGTGGGCTTTTGATTTTCTGACAATTTTAGACATTTATTGCAAATATAACTATTGGGCTCGCTTGCCTATATACATACATATATATGAGTTAGCCAAGCAAACTTCTGACCTCTAAAAACAGCTCCCCCCCCCGACCTCTAAAAACAGCTCCCCCCCCCCCCCCCCCCCCCCCCCTCGTTCTAATTTTTTCATATTTTCTATCTACATTTTTGGAGCAACTTGATACAAGTGGGTGCACCTCTTCTTTGGAAAAGTTTGAAAAGACCATTGATGGATATGTGTTGTATCTTGAAGCTGTATTTGAACTGCTCATGCATCCATGTAGGGAAGCCATACAACTTCAGGAAAGCACCTAGAGTGCCTCTCCTTCATCCGAGCCGGTTCTTTCTAGTTATTATTTTTAAAATTTATATTATATTATATTTATTATTTTTGCATGTTTATACATGTTAATTGTTAAAAAAAAAATTAAAAATTAATTAAAAACAACCAAAACTTACATGGGAGGAAGTAATTAAAAGCGATTTTATGAAATTAAATCTAAGACAAGACATGGTCTCTAGTAAAAAAGAATGCAAAAAGCGAATTCATGTGGCCAACCCCATTCATATGGGATAAAGGAGAGGATGAGGGTGAGAGTGATGATGAATTGTTTAAAAAATTCTTTAATGTTAATGTTTCATTTTGTTGAATATTTATCCCTATGACTGAATTACAATTATAATATGCAATAGAATTAACAGTACTTTTAGTATGAATATTCGTAAGTCAATATTCAAAAGCATAATGTAATTTAATATGGTAGATCAATTGCAAGTTACAGGGAGAAACAAATATTGATCAAAATGCTCACTTACCCAAGAGTGGGTCTCTCCTTTGAGCTGCACAAATCCAAACAAAAATTTATAATTAATAGAAACACCCCAAAACAAAAGCCAAAAAAAAAACCAATCAAAAACAAACAAAAAATTGTTTTTACACCAATCCCTGCTCATCCTTTTTTTTTTTTCCTTTCCTTTTTGGGTATATGCCCATCTCAATTGACTCAAAAAATGAAGAATGGAGAAAATCCAGTAAAGTAGGCCTTTTGTTAGCTACAACGGAAGCAACAAATTTGGCAGAAAAAAAAAAATTATAAAAAAACTAATCGAACCTTCATATAATAATTCCAAAAAAGTTTTAAACTTTCTTTAAAATTGAAAAACAAAATAAAAGATCCACCAGTCCTTGTCAATCAAACAGACCGTGCTAAGCAAATAAATGTATATTCATACGCTATATATATAGATAGATACATAAACACAAACGTGTATATATAAATATATCTTTAGTTAAAAAAAAAACCTTTTGTCACAAAAATTCGCAAAAGGGTTCGTTTTCAACAGGAATTTCACCAACAAGAATAAATCTACGTATATCAAGAACTATATACATAAATTGATTCGCGTATATAGATACATGAACATAAACTTGTGTATAAAAATATATCTTTAGTTAAAGAAAACATCTTTTGTGACAAAAAGATCGCAAAAAGGGTTCGTTTTGAACAGGAATTTCACCAAGAAGAACAAATCTGCGTATATCAAGAACTAAAAAAATAACAAAGTGAGAGAGATAAATTGAGAGTGTGTATGTGCGTGTGTGTGACGGAGTTACCTCATAAACCAAGACCGAGAGAAAATCGAAGGAGAGGCGAATCTGCTACTCTCTGTGTGTAGAATGCGATTGAGGAGAGAGCGATTCGGTGATGGGGCTTGGGGCAGATATTTATTTTTAGAGAGAGAAAGAACAAAGAAAAAGAAACTATATAAAAATACTCTCTCTCTTTCTCTCTCTAACTTTCTCTTTTGCTCTGTATCTATATATCTCTATATTCTAGTGTATGGAATATGTATGTATGTGTGTGTTTGTACGGGTAAGCGTGAGAAGAGAAAAAAGAAAGGGCTACAGAGAAACCCGGGAGAAAACGATGCCTTACGTCTCCTAAACTCGAGAAGTATTTTGCGTGTTACCATTTAATGCATTAAATCCACACTCCCAAACGGACTAGGATCCTCAGCCCAGCATAATATTCAGTTATTTAAATTAATTAATAAATGAAAATTATTAATGATGATTTAATTTTAATAACTGAATTATTGTGCTGGACCTCCCGTACCAAAAAGGATAACACATTATTTTAGGCTGGAATTAATATGTTGACCTACTATAAAATGGTTATTTTTAATTTGTATATGAAAATTTTTATGTAGTGCTCTCTTAAAACTTTTAATTTTTAAATTTTTTCTTTAAAACTAAATTTCCTTTCTCCAGTCAAACTCTAATTTCTTTCCTTTCAACGTTATCATTTTTTCTTTCCTTTTTCTTCTTTCGTTTCTCATTATTTTAGGCTGGAATTAATATGTTGACCTACTATAAAATGGTTATTTTTAATTTTTATATGAAATTTTTTATGTAGTGCTCTCTTAAAACTTTTAATTTTTAAATTTTTTCTTTAAAACTAAATTTCCTTTCTCCAATCAAACTCTAATTTCTTTCCTTTCAACTTTATCATTTTTTCTTTCCTTTTTCTTCTTTCATTTCTCACTTCTTAAAATCCTTATTTTTGCACTTACATATAATATATGACCTCATGCTTCTCTCACATAAAATTAGTGGAAATTCTCTTATTATTTAAAATTATTAGACTTTTAATCATTACTCTTCTTCAAAACAATGTGTTACTGTTAACAACTTACAATTTATTTAAAAAGTTAACATATTAAATCGAGTCTTGAATAACTGAGTTAACACGATAAAGGATCTTTATGTACAAATTTGTGTATTATATTTTGTTTTGGTATACATGTACACCACGTATCATTTATGCAAAGTTAAATGTAAAAGGGTTGCATTAACGAAATAATTTTTTTTACAACATTTCATCTCGGTGTAATGCTCTGAATAAGTCTTATAATATTGAATTAATTTTGTAGTTTCATTAAATAATATTACATTTTCACAACAACACACGTGTAGGCGTGCTAACACGTCAGCTTATATGAACCATCTGCAACGGTATTTTTTTGTTTTTTTTGTCTTTCAAAGACACAAAAGGCAAAAGCCAAAATAATAAGAGACATAAAGTCAAATCAGAAAAGACATACAAATCTTGAATTAAAGTAAATAAATGAAAAACAGGCTCCAAATTTGTGGAGCTAACACAGCCCCACACCCTACAAACGGAACCATCACAGGATAACGCAACAAACTAGAGACTGGAAGGTCGGGCAATCAGGATTGGCAACCGCTCCAAAATTACAACCACAAGGTGCTCCAACAAACAGGAAACCCCGCACAAGATAAAATGAAGGGGAAAAACATTAAATCGAGGCATGAAAAATCAAAATCGACCTAAACCAGAGATCTAGTTGGAGAAAACAACAGATCTGCCCATGTAATCCGAAAACGAACCGAACATGAACACATCTAATCGAAGAAAACAAAAAGGGGGTAAAAAAAACATGAACAGCATTGTATTGTACCAAATCTCAAGTTCCCAGCACAAGATTATGTGATTGTTGGGAGAAAGAAAGTCATAACCTCAAATCCCTCCTGATTAGTAAGATTATGTGATTGTTGGGAGAAAGAAAGTCATAACCTCAAATCCCTCCTGATTAGTAAAACGAGATGTATAAATATATATATCGGCCCCATCTGACTGAAAAGCAGAGCACGTGCGATCCATTGGATAACCACGTGGGCCTCCAATGATATTCTGTTTCTATGGGCTGTCAATGTGCATCTTTCAAAGGAAATTGTCCTTATGATTGGGCTCTATTTGTGGGCCACAAAACGGATTATTATTTTCTTGTAAATGGTTTGGGGTGGCCTCTTTCGTCTCATTCTATCACTGAAGCTTGGATGATCCAGTGCTGTATCACTTCGTTCTGATCTTAACTTACACATACGGGTATGCTCCACACACGTGCAAGTGTTGAAATTCGTCCGATGTGATACAACACTTACAGCGGCACCACAACTGATCACTATTATTGATATCAAAAGTTGTTATTCGACATCATGATTGCTGCCATTAGGGTTGTGTTTGAACTTATAATTGATTTTGCACAATCACAACATTAGTCAAGAGAATACCATGAATTCAAATATGCCAATAGTAGAATCTAATTTATAAGATTACATGAGCAATTAACTTAATAAATTCGTTAGATTTGTGGTTATGGAAAGTGTGAAAAGTAAACAGTATCTATATAGTGTGCACAATTCCAGGAAAGTCACACCATGGATTACATCCCAACAAGATAATTGTGAAGTCCCACATGGGAGAGAAGTTAGAGACAATGGTGAGAAAATTAGAGAGTATATGGGGATAATTTGCAAACATACATCGTCACACCAATCAAACGGAAAAGGTATATAAAAAATAACATGGGATGACGTATTAAAAGTGACTAAGAAAAGTTAAATAATAAATATAGCAGTGGGAATGAGTTGAATGACATCTAATAGGAAAGATTGAAGATAGATAAGTGGGAATGAGTTGAATGACATCTAATAGGAAAGATTGAAGATAGATAATTTATGTGCCCGTCTTCAATGATACGGGAGCAAGACAAGGTGATGATGACGACATGGGAGAAAAGTTGCAGCCACTTATAAAGGAATGCCCCTCCTATAAATATAGACGCATTTTGTAAACTGTGAGTACACAGCAACATTGCGCGGATAACCTTCACTTTCTCATGAACCTAGGCTTAGAATTCCAAAAAATGCACACTTGTAAGAAGTGAAAGTGCAAATTTGGGTCTACTCCAAAATTATTTGTCAGGTATTTGCATGCGACCATGAAACATACAGTCCTAACTGAAAACGAAAATTTTGATTCTAATACTAAAACAGAGGAGTTTGGTTCCCCAATTACCTTCGTTTTTTCTTTCCCCGTATAAATAATTGCCCTCCTTTTCACCAAGCTAGCAAAAAAAATGTCACATATGTAAATAAGGGTTTAACTAGCGATGGTGGTATGATAACTTGGAAAGTTGAATGCAGGCATACATTGCTTCGTAGAAGAAGAATATCGTCATTCTAAGAGGATAGCATGAAAACACATTTGAACCTAATATTTCTTTGATAGCAACAAAGTACCATCACATCAAATATTTTCCGGGAAAATAAATAAATAAAGTATGAAAAAAGAATGAAATGAATAAAAAAGAATGAGAAAATCCATGTGGCACACCCAATGAAAATACGAAGCACATTTGGAAAATATAAAACAAAAAATGGGAAAGAGTCCAAAGAAGGCATCATAGTTACCGTTGGTTGCAACTTGCAAGGTGTTCGACAATGGAAGCTGCTGACATGAATACAACCTTCTTTGCGTAGGGAAAATGGGAAATAATCCAAAGAAAGCATTCCATAACCAAAATCACCAGATTCAAGAAGTCCCAAAAATGGACTTGATACCAAAGATTCTCGAATCAAGTCCAGAACGGAAATGAAGCCCCCAAAACACAGCAATGACTGACATGGGAGAGATAGGGATGTTAACTAGGATTGTAAATGAATCGAGTTATTTATGAACAAGTCGGGCTCGGCTTGTTAAAGGCTCAGTTCGGGCACGTTCGTTAAGTAAAGAGCCGAGTTCGAACATAATTTATAAGCTCGTTTAGTAAACAAGCTGAATCTGAGTAACGTTGGGCTTGACTCGTATAGGCTCGTGAACACGAACTCGTTTAAACTCGTTAATGTTCGTGAACACGAACTCGTTTAGGCTCGTTAAATAAATACATATATTAGATATTATATATATATATATATATATATATATATATATATCTTTAATTTTATTATAACTTAAGTACTAAAATAAATAAAATAATGTAAACATTATCTCTTCACAATCTCCTTGATTCTCTAAGTGTTGACACGTGCAATTTCCATCACTCTTAACCTTTTTTTGTATTCTTTTCATTTCTTTTGCATTCTCTAGGTAGTCAGTCACTTTATTGTTTATACCAATTAGACGAAATTGTGAAGAGCAAGTGAAGACCAAGAGAGGCAGAGACCAACGAAAAACCAGAGGGCAAACATAAAAAAAATTATATCATCTGTGCAGTCTTCCTCTCTTTCAAAGAGTCCATTGAAGATCAAAGTTCAGTGGAAGGTAAAACATCTGTAGGGCTCTCTCTTGGTGTCTCAAGGCATCACTGAAAATTGGGGCTTGATCTTTGCCTTCAGTAAGAAGTCCTATTTTGTTTTTGCTGTTTTAATGTTTAGGTATTACATATCATACTTTTAATTCTGAACTTGTGAAATTGTATTATAAGTATTGTAAGTTCAGACTTCTCTTATAAAAACAATTAGCTTTGATTTGATAATTGGCTGGAAGTCGAGCCATTTTTCCATGATAGTGCATACTGTTTGTTGTTGCATGTGGATTATAATTAATTGAGTTTGATTTTTATTTATTTTTGTTAAACTAGCCGAGCTGAGTTTTTAATATTAAGACGAGCCCGAACCCGAGCTCAATTTTTTGAGCTCATCACGAGCCCGAGCCCATAAACAAACGAGTCGAGCCCGAGCAGACCCAAGCTAGGCTCAGCTCATTTGCAGCCCTACACAACAGACTTGAACAAAAAGGGTTTTTTGCATTACTCTTGAACAATGGGTTTCCGTGAACTAAATCCTCATCTGTCATCTCTTTGAATTCAAATGATACAGTAATTTAAGAGAGAGAGACATAAGAGATTCAATCAAATACAAGGTAGCACTAAAGAAAAGACTGTTAGGTAGATGAAATCCTAAGAAGTGTCCGTTACAAGAAGATAAACTCTTTCTCACAAAACCCTTAGAAATTGATGAATTGTTGAAATGATATAGTAAAACAATTTTCTTTTCAAATTTTGAAATGC